AGAATTTTTGTTCAGTTGCTTTGGGAAAATTTTGAGAACGCTAAAAAAATAATACATAGTGGATCCATTTTAGGTTTGCCAGTGCATTAGGACGACCAAATGTGCGAATGCGCAAGATTATGACATTTTGAATTACGCCCAACGGGAGAATTGCGGTCAATCAGGATGGCTTAGGTGTTTTGGGGGCTTGGAATATCCGTTTTTGTACGTAGTCAATGAAGACCCCAAATAAAGAGGGTCCGGATGAATCTAAAAATGGGTTATTTATCGCCCACGACTTCCACGATCATTACTTTGGAATATGGGAAGTGGAAAATTTGCCACCACTCAAGTCCGCGTGCAGCCGTAAGTGTAAGCTCGGCCACGCTGGCACCAAAATTAGTTTAACTCTGCACTCAGAACAGTACTCGTTCTTCCTAGGGATCATCTCGAAAGTACATCCGTTGTCAGATTTATTAGATCATTCCGTAGGCCTAAACTAAACTACGAGAGCTCGGCGCCTGCGAGACTCGGGGTAGGCCACGCCGCAGTACACGCGTGCACTGCAGGCGAGATGTTGCCTACCTAGCAGGCGCCATGAGAGCTTGCATTGGCTTGATTTTGGCAATGTCGGAAATGCAGATGACGGGCGCACCTGGATGATCCCACCACAATAAGGGTGATCAGAACGAGGAAATTCCTTGGCATAAAATTGTTTTTTCAAGTGGTTTGGGTGGACGGGCGGGGGCGCCGCGCGGTGGCGTCCAGTCGCGCCGCCCTCCGGCCCGAGTGGTCGTCTGGGCCGCGACATTAAAATACTAGGAACCGAGTCGAACAGACACTGGACAGAGTGAGTGATTGCCGCCGGGCCGAGCCCCCCGGGCCGTGGCGTGACGAGGAACGAGGACTGCAACATTAATAAGACTGAGCCGCGACTGGCAGCTGATCTCGTTCTATGCAATGCCCCCATCATAGCCGATAGTTTCCATTCTATAGAAAACTAGCCGCCCACCGTATAGATTCCCGCGGATTCTCCGAGCGAACAACGGCGGGCAATGGCTCGTCGCAATGGGCGCGCGGCAGGCTCGGCGAGGAGAGGAGAGGAGAGGCGTCAGTCCGGCAAAGCGCGCGTCGGGTCGGGGGCATTGAGCTGCCAGCCGGGCCGGAGCCGAGGTGCCAAGAGGAGAGCGGCGCGGATTC